GAAGGAGGAAGGACTGGACGGTCATTGATGTCGCCAATAAAGTGAAAGAGTGTCCAAACACAAATAAATGCGACAAACAAATACAATTGCACTGCAACAAAATAATACTTGTTAAAAATAAAAATAAAGGAATAAATAAATTATTTTGCTATCAAGACATGTTTTCTGGTGGGAAATATATTTTTTATCACTTTAAACAGGGGAAATTTATATTTTTAAATTATTTTTTTACCTGTTAAACACACTCTTGGCGGGATTTGGAGTACAGACAATGGAGTTGAACCGGCTGGAGAGGATTCAGAGCCGTCATAATCTAAAAATCTTGCCGCCGGCCGGCCTGGCGAACCAACAAACAAGCAAACAAACAAACAGAACCGACAAACAGACAGATAGACAGGCAGAAAGCGGTCTAAAGCTCGTTTTGGTAGTACAAATGACAAAAGGACTGGCCGGACTTCGATCCCAGCCCATCCACCGAATACGACAATGCAATTTTCATTACGCACTTGCCAATATTAAGCCAAAGTTTGGCACTGTCTGGCCGCCCACACACACAACACACACACTACACACACATCCAGGAAAAACAAACAAACATTGAGCGGGACAAACACAAAAGAAACACTAAGCCAAAAATATGCACAAGTTCTTTAAGGGGACTTTATTTATATTTTTCGAATATATTTATTCTCATTAATATATATATTTTCATACATATTATAATTTGGTCTCCAAGTTCTTCTTAATCCCTTCTTTAATTAGCGGCTTAGTTTATTTATATATTTTTCACAGTGCCTGCCCTCTCATACACACACACACACACACCGTCCTCTTGTTGCGGCCGTGGGCTTTGCGGTTGTTGCTGCCACGCCTACTACCAAGGTAATAAAGCAAAAGTTCTGATCCCCTGCCAGTCTCCTCCTACTCCTACCAAGTATCCCAGCATCCAAGCATCCAATCCCCAATCCCGGCAAGGAGCCGATAAGCCGCACGACCAGAAGCAGCTTTTGGGCGGAGATGGAAGTGGGATATGGGGACATGGAGATGGAAGCGGAGCGGAAGTGGAAGCCGCATCAACAAAGGAAGCGGAAATGAGCCGGCCAGCTGTCTTTCCTCGGATATGTGTGTGCGTGTGTGTGGGCGGCATATTTGTACAGTCAACCACACAAAAGGAGACAACCAAACGGGCAGACATCTCTAATCACTGGCTTCAATTAAAGTTAATTACTTTGATCGATATAAATAATTGCAAGATATTAATCGATTTTAGCTTTGGATAAATAAACTAAACAAATAAATCGATGGGAAAACAAAATGTTGATTATTTTAGATGCCTGTCAATATTTTAAATAAATTTGAGGAAGTTTTTAGTTAGATTTATATAGATAATATATCGATATATCATTCATATCATCATTCTTCCTGAGACCTAAAACCCATTGTTAGGGGACTGCGTTTACATATATATAAGTATCAATGAACATTAAGTAACTATGATTAGTAAATAACAATGATCAGTAAGTCCCTATAACCAGTAATTAACTATAATCAGTTACTAACTTGGAACACTAATAAACAATGACTTGCAACTTTGTAACACAACACGTTTCTGAGACGTGGCCGGCAGCAGTCACTTCGTTCCGGGGATGTTAGAACAAGTTGGGAATCATAAGTACAGATGTGCGAGATTTGTTTTGGAACAAAGAGCAAGCTATTTGAATGAAACTATGGAGTTATTCTTCTATATAATTTTACTAGTATATAAGTCGGAGCATGGGGAATCGGTGCTATATATATAGCATAGCTGCCATAGGAACGAACGGAAAATTTTAAAAATAAATATTATAACTTTTCCAGTTTTCAACAGATTTTTACCAAACTTGATATATAACCATTATATATTAATTTAGAAGTTTGTGTAAAATTTAATGAAAATTGGACTACTATATCATAAAGCTGCAATACAAACAATCGTTAAAAATAGAGGAAAATGGAAAACGGTGAATAAAATGAAAGCAGGCATTACTTTATTGGTTTTTAACATAAATATATATAATTTATATTGTATTAATATTGTATTCTTTATAGTATTAGGTTTAAATTATCTATATTTGGTCCTTGGTTATTGATAATAGCTTCGTACTTGCACAATTTGTTTTTGGAATTCACCTCGTGAGAAAACCGACAATCAAGCCAGATTCACATGTGGTTTCGACCAATAACCACACACACATGACCCACTCCCAAATCCCTCCCAATACCCACTCCTCCTCCCTCATCACACCTTCCTTTCCCTCTACAGCTAATTATATGCGCCTCCAAAAGCCCAAAACAAACAAATCGCGTGGCCGGCGATTATGGAACCACAGACGGCCACAGAAAGTGAAACTCTTATCAGCAAGGTGCAGGCAGTGAATGCAGAAAATGCTGGAGTAGAGGCGCCTCTAACCAGAGAAAAAAAAGAGGGGGATGTGGGGGCTGTGGGGGCGGGAGCCAGAGGCCGGGCTTTAATGAAGCCATCGGCCAGCGGATCGACATCGGCCATCGCCATCCACTCGTCGTAATTACGCGCCCCTCTTCGAAAATTGATGATTTTCATTAACGACAACTTAATAACTTGGCCAACGCCAAGAACGAGAGTTGAGTTTTGAGGCGGAGTTGGGGATTGGGAGTGGGATTTCGAACCGGGCCAAGACGAGAGCGGTCGTCTTCATTATCGATAGCCATCGAAGGCAAACATAAACACACAGAGAGTAAAGAGAAATATAGAAGCAGAATAAGCAACCGAGAAAAGAGAGAAAAAAATAGAGAGGGAACGCCCCGACATAATCAAGACCTTGTCCCACAGTTTAAGTAACTATATAACCTATATATCAGTTTAAAAATCCATTTAATTCGATTAGTCCCCCCACAAATACTATTCGATTGTAATCAAAGTTCAGCAAAAGTTGCATTAAATCGCAAAGATCATAGCTACTGGAATTTATAGACTATTCTGGCGTAAGGTAAAGATACATCTATATACGTTATGCTGATTCCAGAAAATATTAAGCTAATTATATTATCCAACCAAAGCAATAAACTTTAGGTATTTATTAAGTAACCTAACAGAAGGTAGCTAGAGTTTATGCAGCTTCGCAAAAGGGTGTATTTATATAATCAATAATTAAAACTAGTCAGCATATATCAAGTCATAAAGAAAATTCTAGTCTCACTCTCATATATTTCCAAAATCCTTAATTTGTACACTCAAATTGAGGCAATAAATTAGTTTCTATGAGTTTACCAGGTACTATATAGCCATAAAACGATTTTGTAGAATTTATAGGATGGGTTCGCATAAAGCATAGTTACAAAAAGTATAAATCGAGTGGGATTTATGCTGGAGAAGGGGAAATATAGTTTCTACCGTTGCCACTGAAAGTTGCAAGTCTTGCACTTTTCTGCATTCTGAGCTCCCAACTTCGAATTAACCCATTTTTTTTTGCTTTTCAACTATGTCAGCTTTTAATACCCTTGTAGGGTTATAACTTTTCAAGTTTTTAACATATTTTTATTTAATTTGATTTAAAGCTATCTTTTATTATTATATTTTATTCAATTACAATATTAATTTTATGAAAATCTGAATACTAAATAATATAACTGCAAGAAAAACGGTTGTTAAATGTCGAGGATCAGTAACTATATTTCAGCCAATGAGTAAAAATGATCAGTAAGTATCAATGAACATTAAGAAACTATGATCAGTAAATAACTACGATCAGTAATTAACTATGAGCAGTGAGAACCTATGAGCAGTAAGTAACTTTGAACAGTAAGTACCTATAACCAGTAATTAACTAATTAACTATTACTGTGAGTAACTATGGTCAATAAGTATCAATGATCATAAGATACTATTATCAGTAAGTATATATGAACACTAATAAACAATGACTTGCAAGTTTGTAACACAATACATGTCTAAGACTTGGCTGGCCGCAGTCACTTCGTTCCGGGGAAGTTAGAACCAGTTGGGAATCATAAGTACAGATGTGCGAGATTTGTTTTGGATCAAAGAGCAAACTATTTTAATGAAAGTATGGAGTTATTCTTCTATATAATTTTACTAATATATAAATCGGAGCATGGCGAATCGGTGGACTATATCTATACGTACATATGTATATATAGCTGACATAGGAACGATCGAAAAGTTAAGAAAAAAATTTATAACTTTTCCAGTTCCAATCGGACTACTGTATCATATAGCTGCTATTCAAACAATCTTTAAAAATAAAGGAAAATGCAAAGCGATTAATGTAAAACTGTTAATATAAAATGTAGAGGCGAACGAAATGAAAGAGTATATAAACTTCGGTATGTCGAAGTTCGCTTCCTTTCTTGTTTATTTGTTTTTAATTAAATGACAGTCAAGATAGAAGCTATGGTGATATCAGCAGTTTTGCAACAAAACTTAGCAAAAAACAGGAATTTTTTTATATATATTAATGTTAATTTAAAGTTTCTCTACTGTCCGATTATTTTCAAGAAGAAGTGTAATATAAACATTCTATTAAAAACTTTTTTAATTAACCCAAATTCACATTTTAGTTGCAAATTATAAGAAAAATTATGGGTTTTCAAGTAAATATAAATATTAGCAATTACCAAGAAGCTCCACAAAGCACTGGTAAATAATTTACGACCCCACGATCCCCCTTCTCCTTTGAAAAAAAAAAAAAAACATAAACAAAAAGCATATTTGTAAATCCGAGAGTCTTGGCAACATTTCTTGATCCAACCAAATGCAAGCAACAAAGCTGCACAGCAACAGCAGCACATGTTGCGAGCAGACTGCGCAACTGCGTCATATTGCAGCTTCTCTCCCACTCTCAGGTTGGCAACATGCTGCTGCTGCTGCTGCAGCATCACTCTCGGCAACATGCTGCAAGCGACGATCGCAACACAAATGTTCGCACACCGAACAAACACGAACAGTCGTTCGTGGACAGCCGACGACTTGACGTAACGACGCGATTCGCACGCGATTTAAAACTCTCCGACGCGACACGAATCGAGCGACTTAAAACGCCTGCGCATACGGCTGCCGAAGCGCCGGATTTTCGTTACTCCTTTTTTTTCGAGTTGGTTTTCCTCTGTGTGAAAAAAAGGGTTTAAACTTTTGAGAAAATAAACGACTTTTGGAATTTTTTGTGACCCTAAAAACAATACGTGATTCGAGTGAAAAGTTATTCAAAATCAGCAAAAGTTTTGCAGTGAAAAATTCAAGTGAAAAGGTATTGAACATTTGATGAAAATTTAACCATAATAACTATAAATATTTATAAAACTGACTAGGACTTATTAGTCTATTCTTTGGAATAATAGAAAATATTTTAATAACATATATATTTAATTTTCTAAAAGTCTTCTAATGTTTTCTTTTTGTAAATTCAGTGAAAAGATTGGAAATTGTAGCTTAAAAAGTCATTTAAAAGTATAAAGAACTTTAGTTGGTACTAAATAATGTTTGGCAATGTTTTAGTAACTCTTTTTGTGATTATTTGAAATAAATAAGTACAAATAAATAAATTACTATACAAATTTCATTAAGTTTTGATGTAATTGTCGCAATTTTTAAAGAATTAAACTAATGCGAATTTATATTAATAAAAACATTAATCATAAAAAAATACATAAATTTACAGTGACAGTAATACGCTCTAATTGCAAATTTTAGATACCATAAACATAATAAAATAACATTTGAATGAATTTAAATGATATCCCCATAATTCATCAAGTGACAACTTACTGAAAAGTGATTTATTTTTCACAGTGATTAAAGGCCACAGATTAAAACCAGGCTAGAGATCCCTCACGGTAGCCAGTATGACCCACCTTTTGGCCCTGATCTGTAGCCTGGTGCTCTTGGCCAGCGTTCGGGCCATTCCCAACGATGATTTCTGCTACGACAAGGCCGGTGGTAAGCCACGTGTCTGTGTTCCGGATTTTGTAAATGCCGCCTACGATGCCCCGGTTATGGCCAGCAGTACTTGCGGATCGAAAGGACCTCAGAGATATTGTGAATTTCAGGAGCGAGAAAGGGACATGGCCTGTCACACCTGTGACCTATCCAATCCCCTAAAGAGCTTCCCATCCCGGGCACTCACGGATCTAAATAACTCCAACAATGTCACCTGCTGGCGCTCTGCTCCCGTTTCGGGCGGCAATGCCATTGGGGGTAGTGGTAATGGTGACAATGTCACCTTAACCCTCTCCCTGGGCAAGAAGTTCGAGCTGACCTATGTGACCCTACAGCTCTGTCCGCATGCTCCACGACCCGACTCCATGGTGATCTACAAGAGTTCCGACTACGGTCTCAATTGGCAGCCATTTCAGTTCTATAGCTCCCAGTGTCGTCGATACTTTGGTCGTCCTGCCCGGCAGACTGTCAGCAGGCACAATGAACACGAGGCTCGTTGCACGGATCTCACGAGGCTAGCCGGAGGAGTGCCCTCGAGGATTGCCTTTAGCACCCTGGACGGGCGACCCTCGGCTCGTGATCTTGACTCCTCGCCGGTGTTGCAGGACTTTGTAACGGCCACCGACATAAGGATTGTATTCCATCGTCTCCACTTGCCGCTGGCCGAGATGGGAGCCGGTTCGGCGGCTGAACTCCTCACCGGAGGGAAGTACAGTTTGCCTTTGGTCCATGGACCGGCGAGTAACAATAACATTGAGCTGAATCCAGGAGCGGATGCTGTGGAGGCATCTACAACAGCTGTGGGCCCCGGCGGGGGACTCCACTACGCCGTGTCAGACTTTACGGTGGGCGGACGTTGCAAGTGCAACGGCCACGCCTCCAAATGCTCACCGGATGCCAATGGACAGCTGAGCTGCGAATGCAGCCACAATACGGCGGGCAGGGATTGCGAGAGATGCAAGTTATTCCACTTTGATCGACCCTGGGCCAGGGCCACGGCAAAGGAAACCAATCAGTGCAAAGGTGAGTTAATCTCTGACTAAGTTGGAGTAGTTTTTACTTAATTATTGATATTTTGACATTATTTAATTCAATAAGTATTTGTTGTGTTTAGGGGGAATTTGTTTAGAAAATCTATATAGATTGATTTGTTTTGGAAGCTCAGTGAAACTAGAGCAACTTAGGGTAATGTTTATTTATTCCAGGAGCTATATAAACTACAATTCTACAGCTCTGTTTTTATAGGAAACAAAAAAGGGAACTAACTATGTGAAGACGAAGATTATATACATATAATACTATATAATAAATATTTGCATTACTTGAATTAAGCAAGGATTGAAAAACGCATAACTAAGCCAAAAAATCATTAAATTGAAATCGGAAAGCGGTCCTATGTTTCTTTTTGCTAGGTTAAAAAATCTGCATACTCAATTCAAAATTTAAGAAATTTTAAATTTTTATCACATTTTATAAATTTTAATGATGTAACCCCTTATAAAATTATGAAAAAATTTAAAATTTTTAATTTCTTCCAAACATGTCTAGATTGATTCAGCTGTTGATGCTGATCAAGAATATATATGGTTTTTAGGGTCGGAAATGACTCCTTGACTTTGTTTCAAGCTTCTGACTGTAGTTGAAATACCTTTAAAATAGTAAAAATATTTTAAAAACGACAAAAGTTACACCTGGTCTTTTACTTTATACTTTTTATTGAAAACTCTATATTCCATTTGAATAAGATCTAAGAAAGCAGACAGATCTTTAATCTTCTATCTAAAATCTCAAAAAGATTGTTACAAAAGGCAGCCTCTTGTTGAAACATTATCCTTAGGAAAAGAAAAAACTATTTAACCAAGTCAAAACTCGACCAGATTGATGCTATTATGGGGATTTTGAGGCGTGGCAATGAGTTTTCCAGCCAAATTGTTGCCAGGCTTTATGTGATTTTTTGCAAGGGCTTAACCCATGGTCAATCTATGGGAGGACTCTACCTGAAACCAGTCTTACCTGGGACTCTTACCATGTGTTGCCCAGCAAGGTTAGCTACCTGGTTACAGGAGAGTCAGCATCAAATTCCCCCCTCATAAGCCAAAGCAAAACAGGACCAATAAAGAGTATGGGAAAGGAAATTTCCCTTCTAGGCGGGAGTAACCCCCAAAGGACTCGCCGGCTGGGCCAATCTGTTGAGCAAACATATCAGGGGGCGCAAAGTTAAAATAAAGAAGTTGTAAGGAGGAGAAGCACAAGGGGGTGGCGGATTCCAGGACAACTCCATCTGAATTCAATTTCGAGTCGGCTGTCGCGTGTGTTTGGTTTACGTCTTAACGTCATCAGTATGCTCTTTTTTTGGATTTTTTGGGTGCAGGATATGGATAAGGAGTCCTGCAACAACCTCGAAGACTGTTTGGACTGCGGATTTGGCTTAGCCATAATTGAACAACTCAATGGACACGTGTAGGGGTTTTATGAAAGTGAAACCGTTTTCACAATCAATCGACAAACTCACGGGGTCCAACCCTCGGATTTTAATGCTGCAAGGATAAGCCCTCGCAATTAACCCTCTAAAACTCGCTGAACTCGAACAACAATAAGCGCGAATTTAAGCGAAATTAATTTGATAAGCAGCGAACACAGAGAGCTATGTATATATGTTGTGTACCTTTGGAAAATATGAGGGTTTGAGGGTTGAGAGATTGCCTGTAAGGACATTGAAATGTTGTTGAAATAATTATAATTATAAATATCCTTCTCCTGCTTAGGTTGCTTTCGGTTCTTATGGATATATTACTCATATTTTATATTTTGGAAGCTTAAATTATATAGAAATTTAGATGACATCACTCAAAGTGGGCGCTGTGCTTGTTCCTGGCACTTGATGAAAGTGTCCTTCGTGGTCATCATGTGCCATAACATTGCAGTTTCTCTGCTTGTATTTTTTGTTTTTCTTGCTCGTGTGTCCTGCGGGGGCGCAGGACCTTTTGCCATTGTTTAGTGCATAAATCACAGTCACACCAGCACACACACACACACACATACACACTCGCCTTGCACACAAAGGACAAGGGCTGGACGCTCTTATCAGGGGCAGGCACGTGTGGCAGGACAACCGCCTCTCTCCCGTATGGGTTTATTAGGGTTGCAACCCGCCTCCTTTCCGCCCATCCCCTTTGCAGGACGACGCGCATATGTTGCATGTTTATGGGCAAACGAAATTAACGTTGCCATCGCCATCGCTTTTGACGTTCAATGTGACCTCAAACAAAAAAAAAACAACACCGCCAGCCGGCAATTACTGACCGCCAATGAAAGGGAAACGGAAAATCTGGGGAAAAATCGGGGAAATGTCCTCGCCAGCAAAACATTTCCGATGAGCGGCACAGAAAATGAGGAAAAGCAACCATATGTGTGCAGATTGCATTGGAATTGAAAGCATTATTCCCCGCGATTATATCTCTTATTGAACTGTGAAGCAATTCTTGCGGATTAATAAAGAGATTTGGGAATAATTATGGAAATATATATAAATTTTTATGAGGAAATATTGAGGAGAATCAAAATGCACTTTGATTAATTCCAGGATTTTCAGGATAAAGAAGAAAGATTTATATTAGAACAAGATATCTAATAATATATTGCAAATAAATAGCCTTGAATGAATGCTCTTTCTATATCAATCTGATTTAAAATTATATCCATTATATATATATGTGTATATATCAAAACACAAACGAATATTTCATAACAATCATTTAAGAGCAAATCGTGATTAATGCACAAATGCCATGCCATTATTTTCCACACATAAACACACACCACCGGAAGTCATCCATAAATCGCACAAAACTCCCAATTCGAAGCATAAATTTCTTGGATTTATAGCCATACGATCTATATCTATCTATATCTATATCTGCCCCATGTAAAATATTCCCAATAAGTCAAAAAAGGCGGCCAACTTTGACCCAATCATAAGGGGAGGGAGAGCTGCATGCTCTATCACACTTCCGTCAACACCTTTTGATTTGGATTTGGATTCAGATTGAAATTCATTATAGCAGCATTCAAAAAAATTAAACGAAAACAAACAAACAAGATAGAGGAGGGAGCGAGAGAGAAACTAGAGGCTAAAATTAACATTGGGCGACGCAATAAATAAATTTAAATCCGTTTAAAACGTTTGGCAAATCAAGACATTACTCATACGCCGCGTTGTTGCCGCACCAAAAATAGTTCCACTCTTTGCGGCTGCCCCTCGAAGACTGAAATGCTTAAAGAGCTGTGATAAATGTTCCTGGGCTTAGGCGAAATGCCGAGCAAATTAGCCGGCCAATTTGTCCAAATGATACCGAATGGAAGAGATTCAGGGAGGAGGAGGAGGTAGCCACTACTTGATGGTTATGTGTCATCCAGAAGAGACCAAGAATGTATCACAAGGTTGGGGGTAGAGATAATCGAGAGAGAAATGTATAAGTAAAATACATGATAAAGAAATTATTTAAGATCAGAGTTAAATAACATCAAAGTTCCTAGCTAAAGTTCCTTGCTAACTCAACTTGAAGTTAATATTTGAAGAATTCAATACCTTCTATATATTAGGTACTTAAAGAGTCCTGTCTGCTCTTTATTTTCTATCAAAAATATGTATTCAATTCCTTCTAGATATTGGGTAATATTAGGTACCCACAGAGTCCTTTCTTTACTTTATTTCCTTTACCAAAAATAAGTATTCAATTCTTTCTAGATATTAGTTGATATTAGGTACCTCAAGAGTCCTGGTCTGCTCTTTATTTCCTTTACCAAAATATGTATTCATTTCCCCTGGGTTCTGACTGCACTTTTCCTCCCATCAGAGTTTCTAGATGAGATTCCTTTTCCCGTTTCTATATATTTTCTTTTTTTTTGGAGCTGTCGCTTCTCCTGGTTGCGTCTTCATTGGCTAGTCCTGGACATTGATTCGAAATTGCATTGGCATGTCCTCAAGTTATTTGTCCTGAATGCTGGGGCACTGGCATTGTTCGGCAACGATTTTCGCTGCTTTTGTGTGTGGGAATGCAAAGGTCCTGCGGCTATAATTTCGCACAGCATCCTTGTGTCAGTTTTCATCAGTTACATTTCAGAGGGGAGTCCTTCTTCCTTTTTTCCCTCTCTCTTTATTTTTATTTTTTGTTTGTGACATTCTCCCTAACTAAGCGAAAGCGAAAAGCGAAACGTGCAAAAATCCCTTCGACTTCGCCAAGCTCCTCTGTTGTCATTTTAATTGTTGTTTACCGGGCTTGTCAAATGCGCACTTCAGTCGGTGGAAAAAAATATACAGAAAAAGGGACAGTCACGACATAGGGATACCCTATTTTAAAGAGATTATTACTACAGAGAAGTTACAAAAAAGAGTCTGTTTAAACTGTCAACCTCTCATTTAAATGTTATAGTTATAATTTTAATGCTTTAAACTCTTGTTTAAACTATATACCCTAAAATTTTTAGATCAAACAAAAAAGCATATGAAATCCCCAGGTGGTGAAAGGGGGTTTTTTCGGGATTTGCTGATGGGTTTTTTGAGGGGGTTTTGGGGCCATTCGTTATGATGACCCGGCTGTCTGTGACGAGGCTGTCATCGCCATTCGCTCTGATTTACTGGCCAACACACGCATGTCACACTCTCCCAGGACCTGGCCAGGACCTGCTGTAATATCAGAGAAAGGGATTTAAATTTCATCAAAATTCATTTAGCCATATTTTTAATAAGCCTTTGGAAAGCATCAGCACAGAACAAATTGCAAAGTGAAAATCACTTGGCCGCTGCTTGATTCCGTTTCAGGATTTATATATGTTTATGTATATATTTTCTGAGTGCTCAAAACGCTCGCAGCCAGGACTCTCCCCTTTCTAGAGTTTGAGTCGGGTTTGGGTTTGTGTTTGGGTTCAGGATCCCGTTCTCGGGCTTGGCTTTCAAGTGATTATGATTATTTTTTATGCACATAACGCTACACATGCAACCCCGGCGGCCAAGGACCAACGTC